GTGACAAATTTAATGATCAGTTTTAAATTTTTATCTCTTGTGACCTTAAGGGTAACTTTTCACAGTCATCACATTTTCATCCTTATTTTTTGCCTCTTAGTTCTATTTTGATGGCTTGTCCTTTCAGCAGTCTGCCCTGCTAGATCCTTCTGTAATTTTGAGCTTTAACCTTTGAAATGTTCCAGGGCTCCTTCCTTAGCACACTCCTCTAACTGTTCTCTCTCTCTCTCTCTCTCTCCCTCTCTCTCCCTCTCCCCCACTCCCTCTCCCTCCCTGCCCTCCTTTCCTATTTCCCTCCCTTCCTCTCTGGCAGGGGTTGGTAAACCTTTGCTGTGAAGGGTCACATAGACTGTGGGCAGGCCATACAAGTCTCTGTCACAACTAGTCAATTCTGCTGTTGTACTGCAAAGCAACCAGAGATAAGTAAAAGTATGGGTATGACTATGTTCCAACGAAACTTTATTTACAGATATAAAACAGGCCGTGGGCTGTATTTGGCCCGGAGTTGGCTGACTTTTGCTATTACTCTAGCTCAGTGGTTCTCAACCTTCCTAATGCCTCAACCCTTTAATACAGTTCCTCATGTTGTAGTGACCCCCAACCATAAAATTATTTTCGTTTCTACTCCATAACTGTAATTTTGCTACTGTTGTGAATCGTAATGTAAATATCTGATATGCAGGATGTATTTTCATTGTTACAAATTGAACATAATTAAAACATAGTGATTAATCACAAAAACAATATGTAATTATATAATGTGTTTTCCGGTGGACTAAGGCGACCCCTGTGAAAGGGTTGTTCGACCGCCAAAGGGGTCACGACCCACAGGTTGAGAACCGCTGCTCTAGCTGATCCCATCCAGTCCCATAGCTTTAGCTACCACCTATGCCTCCCAGATTTGTAGCATTTAGCCCCAGTCTCTTGAACACAGAATTTACTCATCCAGCCTTCCACTCTGTATCCTTAAATGTTTACGAAGCATCTCAAGGTTAACATGTACAAACCAGAAATCCTGACCCCCTCTCCCATTCCTGCCTGTTTTCACATTATAACCAGTAACCTAGGAATCATTCTTGTTGCCTCTACTTTGACCCCCACATGTTAGTTCATTAGTCTCTTCCTTTAACTCTGCTTTAAATGTATCCAGGAGACAATTACACCTCTCCACTTCCACCCTTGCCACTTTTTCCATGTCACCATCATCTTTCACTTAGCCAGTAGCTTCCTGCTTGCAGCCTTGTCCCCCTGTAGTCTGCTTTTCACCTTGACCCTTTTAAAATGTAAGTCAGGTCATGACCAGACTCTGCTCAAACCCCAGTAGCTTTCCATTTCACTCAAAATAAATTTTAAATATTTACCATGTGACCTAATACTCAGCTTCCTCTCTGAATTCATCACTCACCACTCTTCCCTTTGATCATGTGATCGGCCATTCTGCCTCCTTGCTGGTTCTCAGACATGCTGTGCGTATTCTTGCCTCAGCCCTCTGTGCTTGCTGTGTGCCTGCAGTGTTCCTCCCTACCTGTCCGCTTGACCACTTCCTCACTCCATTCAGCTCTGTGACCTGTCAGAGAGATCTTTCATGACCTTTCCATGTAATAGTATCCCCTTCCATTATTCACTCTTGCCTTTCCCTGATTAGTTTTCCTTTATGGTGTTTCTTGTGCCTGATATCCTAAAAACATATTCACTGCTTTTGTAAATCCTTCTCCCCCTGAATAGACGTTCCTTAAGAGCAGGGAATTTGTATACCTGGTACCTAAAATAGTGGTTGGTGTAGTATTTGTGTTCAGCGAATATTTACTGCATGAATAAATTTATGGAGACCTTATAAATTAAATGGAAAAAGAAGAAAGTAGAAAGAAGAGAACTCGAATTTTAAAAAGTCAAATGGATGTCCTCTGAGATTTTAGAAGCTGTTGCATTCATTAAAAACGAAGAGGAAGCTATGAAGAAAAGGCAAAGAACAAGAACTCTTGGAAATCACAGTATGGTTGTTAGGACAACTCACTAGAAGTTGTAGTGGGTTGAATAGTGCTCTGTTGTTTGAAGCCACCAAGTTTGTGGTAATTTGCTACGTTAGCCCAAGGAAATTAACACAGAAAAGTTTGACTGTAAAACAACCTACCAGAAAGTTTGAACAAGATGTCAGAAAAAAAAAGAGGTTTGACTGGAACACATTCCAGAAAAAAGAAACAGACAAAATGCAGAAGAAATTATTGAAGGGGTAATAAAAGAGATTTAAAAATTTAAGGACCCAAGTATTCTAAGTTCCAGACGCATAATTGTGAAATCTCAGAAAACTGAGACTATAAAGAAGATCCTAATAAAAGTCTTGTGGCAGGGCCAGGGAGGGAGGGAATGAGAACTAAACTGGTATCTGACTTATCAGCAACTCCGAGTGCTTGATGATTGGAGTATTCCCTTCAAAATTCTGAGAGAAAATAATATTCTTCCTAGAATTCTCTCCCCAGACAACCATTAACCTAGAGTGAAGATTGAATGAAGACCTGGAACATTTACCTCACATGCAGCCTTTGTTACAGAACACAAGTTAGAGATATGTTTCTGTAAAATAAGTAAACAAGCCAAAAATGATGAATGAATGGGATCCAGAAAAACAGTCAATCTTAGCTGGAGACGTAGAAGCAAAATCTTCAGATGCCCAGCAAGCATTCAGTCCAGATTATCAGCAGAAGGTTAGGTTTCCACAGGGAGCTTGTATGGATAAAGAGAGAATTCCATAGTTTTGATGGTGTCTGTGAGGCATTAAAACAATTTATAGAAATGATTATGATTCACAATGGAAGAAAGGTAATTAGAAGCACAGGGCAAAATACAAGCCAGACAAGAAAGGAAATTTAATTTTAACATTCTGCTTGGCTAAAAATCAACACATCGACAGTGCTTCTCAAACTTCCCTGAGCGTAAGAATTATTTGGGTGTGCTAAAAATATAGATATCCAGATTTTTTTCCTTAAGTTTCTGATTCACTAGTATGAATGAAACCAGGGTTCAGAGACCTGTTTAACAAGCACTCCAGCTTTTTCTTATCCTTAGAAAAATTTTGGAAATACAGTTGACCCTTGAACAATATGGGAGTTAGGGATACCAATCCTCTGCAAAATCAGAAATCCACATGTAACTATTGACTCCCCCAAAACTTTACTGATAGAGCCTTCCTGATAACATAAACTGTAGATAAGCACATATTTGTCTGTTATGTGTATTATGCATCATCCTATGTAATAAAGAGGTAATATGCAAATTAACCCCCACACCCTCACAAGATGGCTGCCTAGGAGGTGGAGCTTTTTTTTTTTGACACTGACTGGCATAGAAACCAACCAATCAGAACCAAATCTGGGTGAACTGTGAAGGCAGAACTTAAGGTGGGGGCTGAGAAGGAGTTTTAAGGCAACAGCTGTTTGGTGTAAGGTGTAAGAAAGCAGTTCAGTTTTTTAATGACCGGTATGGGAGTGTAGTGCATGGCCATCTTCTGGATGTCTGACTTCCTTCCCGACAAAGCCATGATGGTGGGGGCCAAGGCAGAGGCAGTTAGGGGCGATCAGGGGAGAGCAGTTGGGGGTGAGATCAGGCCGGCAGGGGGTTAGGGGCAATCAGGTCAGCTGGGGAGGGCAGTTGGGGGCCACCAGGCCAACAGGGAAGGGCAGTTAGGGTGAGATCAGGCCTGCAGGGGAGGGCATTTGGGGGCAAGATCAGGCTGGCAGAGGAGAGCAGTTAGGGGCAATCAGGCAGGCAGAGGAAGTTAGGGGTGATCAGGCAGGCAGGTAGGTGAGCGGTTAGGAGCCAGCGGTCCTAGATTGCGAGAGGGATGTCTGACTACTGGTTAGGAGCCAGTGGTCCCAGATTGCAAAAGGGATCCCACAGGGATCGGGCCTAAACTGGCAGTCAGACATCCCCCAAGGGGTCCCTGATTGGAGAGCGTGCAGGCTGGGCCGAGGGACACCCCCATCCCCCACCCCGCACGAATTTCATACACTGGGCCACTAGTATCCTTACAGTCGAGTAAGCTAGAGAAAAGGATAAGCTATTAAGAAAATCAAAAGGCAAATGCATTTATAGTATTTTTTATGTTTTTATTTATTTTAGAGGGACAGGAAGGGAGCAGGAAAGAAAGAAACATCAATGAGAGAGAAACATCAATATTGATCCCCTGCCTCCTGCACACTCCCTGCTGGGGATCGAGCCCGTAACCCAGACATATGCCCTGACTGGGAATCAAACTGGCAGCCTCCTGGTGCATCAACCCATGAGCCATACTGGCCAGACTACGTTATTTTTTGGGGGGGAAATATCTGCTTATAAGTGAACCTGCTCAGTTCAAATCTGTATTGTTCAAGAAGTCAACTTTGTATGAAAATAGGAAAAGCATAGAAAATTTAATATTAGAATATTGAACATTTTATCAGCCTTGATATGAAAATATAAAAGTTCAGGAGACAATAACTAGGAGTGAGAAGAATAAGGAAAGAGGGGTAAAAAGCTGATTAGTAGAATCAAAAAATGCTGTACATGTTTGGTGGAACAAAGAATAAAGACTATTATAAAGTGTAAAGATTAGCTAATAGAGAGTTTAAGAGGAAGGGTTGAACTAAACTTATTTCTCAGAATTAGAATCAGTAGATAATTTCTAAAATGGATACAACTAATCATAGTTATATTATTTAGGAAGATGAATAAAATCTACACTAGACCTAAGTAAATTAAAGAGGTGAGAGTGGGTTGCTCTGATAGGCCTGTATTGGAGAGAGGAGGGGACTTTTACTAGTTTAACATTGCATATGCATTGTTTTGTTGAAACAACAACAAAATAGATATTTGGAAAAGTAAATTGGCAACAACTTGGTTTCAGCTCTAAAGAAGCAACTGGTCAGAGCTTCAGAGTTCACTAATTTACTCTGAGCCTCTGAGAAAGGACTGCCTCTAATGTGTGCTTCTATTATCTTTAACGAGTGATGTACATTGCAGCAGTCCTTGCTGCATAGACCATTTCCATCTCTATGGCTCACAGGTATAATATGGATTACCCTTTCATTTTATAGGATCAGGATAGATAGTGCATATCTTTACATCCACCTTTGGAGCATCTTAATACTTTAAATGGAGCATAATAGCACTGACCCTAGCAAATGTTTAATGGAAGATTCTCATCCTTCTCTTGTGCATTAGGTCAGTGCTTAGCACTCTCAGTGTGCCCGGAGAACTCCCTTTTTCTTTAAGCTAAGTGGCTGAGGGTGCTCCTGTGATGGAGCACAACCCTGCCTTAGCTATGGGCATAGCTCACTTCTTAGCACCTTTGTATCCCAGCATTTAGTACATTTCCTTTTACATAACTAAATTATACATTTCTTAATTGAACAACGTAGAAAAAAATTAGATTTCCAATAAATTAACTTTATCAAGCTCAGGAGCTAGAACTGAGGCTCTTGGCCTCTGCATGCATTGCTCCTTGTGAATTTATTGGCATATTGCTCACCCAAAACATTATTATATGTGATCTAGGGCCATATTTTATTTTCCTAGAAATGATTTTTTTAAAATATATTTTATTGATTTTTTACAGAGAGGAAGGGAGAGAGATAGAGAGTTAGAAACATCGATGAGAGAGAAACATCGATCAGCTGCCCCCTGCACATCTCCTATCAGGGATGTGCCCGCAACCAAGGTACATGCCCCTGACTGGAATCGAACCTGGGACCCCTCAGTCCACAGGCCGATGCTCCATCCACTGAGCCAAACCGGTTTCAGCTAGAAATAATTTTTTATTATATTTTTATTTATACTATTTGATGATTTAAATATATGGTTACCTGAGTTAGACCATTCGCTTATTTACACTCTTTTTACCTTCCAAAATGGCAATTAGAAAACAACTTATACATATGTTGTCATTACCTTAGTATTTAAATAGAATGTTATTTAGATCCCAATTTAAAGAGCAGTTCTCACAGACCTTCAGCTTTTGCTGATCACAGCTTCATATCTTCCTCAGCCTTGAGTGACATGCACTCAACTTACATCTTAATAAATTTGTTGGGGCTTGTTCTCAGTTAATAGGAGCATTGGAGCTTTAGGGAAATTTATCACCAGATTTGTGTGCTAGAGGTATCATTTACTCTCGTGTGTGTGTGTGTGTGTGTGTGTGTGTGTGTTTATATATGTCACATGTGTGTGTGTTTATATATCAGAAGCCTGTTTCACGAAGATTTGTGCAATAGGCCTTCCTTCCCCTGGCTGCCGACACTGGTTTTCCTCCGGCACCTGGGACCTAGGCCTTTGGTCCGGCTGCAGTGGAGAAGCCAAGCCTCGAGGCTAGATTTCTCCCCTCTGGCCGCAGCGAGGCTTGGCTTCTCCGCTGGCTCTTCAGCCTTCAGTCTTCAGTTTTCGGTCTTCACTCTGGCCAGAGCCTTCAGTCTTAGCTCCGTGTCTGTGTATGCAAATTAACCGCCATCTTTGTTGGGTTAGTTTGCATACTCATCCTGATTGGCTGGTGGGCGTAGTGGAGTGACATCAATTTGCATGTTTCTCTTTTATTAGTGTAGATATATATTATTTTTTATTGATTTCAGAGAGTAAGGGAAAAGGAGAGAGAAATAGAAACATCAATGATGAGAGAGAATCATGATCGGCTGCCTCCTGCACACCCCCGCACTGGGGATTGAGCCCACAACCCAGGCATGTGCCTTGACTGGAATCGAACCTGGGGCCCTTCAGTCCGCAGCCAATGCTCTATCCACTGAGCCAAACCAGCTAGGGTGAGGTATCATTTACTCCTTTTTTTAAACTTTTTTTTAAAATATATTTTTATTGATTTTTTTTACAGAGAGGAAGGGAGAGAGATAGAGTTAGAAACATCGATGAGAGAGAAACATCGATCAGCTGCCTCCTGCACACTCCCTACTGGAGATGTGCCCGCAACCAAGGTACATACCCTTGACCGGAAGCGAACCTGGACCTTTCAGTCCACAGGCCGACGCTCTGTCCACTGAGCCAAACCGGTTATAGCAGGTATCATTTACTCTTAATTACAAAGGCAGCCCAGCTATTCTGTCAAGTTTCCTGCCTTAATTTTAATAATGAATTTATCTGGTTTGTGCAGCATTCGGAATTCTTAGAGCTGAAATTATTGTTAATTTTCATCACAGTGGTAGTCCCTAATGTAACAACTGAAGTAATCTGCTAAAGCAACAATTTTCAACCTCTTTCATCTCAGGGCACACATAAACTAATTAAAATTCAATGGCACACCAAAAAAAAACACATTGTTTTTTGCTGATCTGACCAAAAATAGGTATAATTTTGATTTATTCATACCTGATGGCTATTGCTGTGCTGGCTGTTATCATTTCTTATTTGACAATCTAAGGGAAAAGAGGTGAGTATCCCTGGCTAAATAGTCAGGTATTGCATGTTTTAAAAATTTTTGTGGTACACCGGTTGAAAATCGCTGTACTAAAGGATTGTATTTTTAAAAAATATTTTTATTGATTTCAGAGAGGACGGGAAAGGGAGAGAGAGGTAGAAACATCAGTGATGAGAGAGAATCATTGATAGGCTGCCTCCTGTGCACCCCACACTGGGGATCCAGCCTTGCAACCCAGGCATGCGCCCTGACCAGGAATCCAACCGTGACTTCCTGGTTCATAGGTCGACCCTTAACCACTGAGCCATGCTGGCTGGGCTAAAGGATTGTATTTTTATTCTCTTCAAAATTCTACCTTATCTTTGTGACTTAAATCAGAGAAAAGAATTACAGATTGATGATTGAAATATACAAAGTGCCTGTTGGTTTATTGTATTTTATTTAAATAATACGTATTTAAAATATACATTTCAGTATGTAATGAAGATAAGTTAGGTTATTAAAGTTTTTTTTTTAAGAAATTTACCTTAATATTACCATTGTTGTCACTTTGAGTGGAAAGGAATTATTCATTTCTTTTATTTGGGTAGGACCTTTAGACCTTTGTTCATATGACTTCTAGGCAAAAATTGGGAATTTTGTTGTTCGGTTTCTCTTAGGACCGTGGTCGGCACACTGTGGCTCACGAGCCACATGCGGCTCTTTGGCCCCTTGAGTGTGGTTCTTCCACAAAATACCAAATGCGGGCGCGTGTACAGTGCGATTGAAACTTCGTGGCCCATGTGCAGAAGTCGGTTTTCAGCCTGGGCGAGTCTATTTTGAAGAAGTACTGTTGATATTTGGCTCTGTTGACTAATGAGTTTGCCGACCACTGTTTTAGGGAATTGACATCAGTTTTAATCCATTTCACTTTATAAAGACTTTTCAAAATGACATTTTTCATATTTGGGATTTTAGTCTATTTTAGACATTTTCTGCTTTGGATGTTTAAACCACGGGGATAAGTAATGATTTCAGCAACCTAAATATGGTTTATTTGGTGTATATTTCTTAATGATTATAGTGGAGCAAGTTTTAAAAGTTGAATTAAACTTTAATTGGGAGTTACAGTTAATTTTGAAAATACTTTTAAAACCTTTTTAAAGTTTAAAGTGGATAAAAGTATACTTGCTGTAAAGAATGGGCTTGTTCATTGTTTAATTGTTTGTTTTCTTTCCAGAGAATGAAGCTGGTCACTATATTTCCCCCTTTCATGATATTCCTCTGAAGGTGGAATCTAAAGAGGTATTGTTTTAACTTGTTTTGGGGAAGAAAATATGTACTTCTAGTATCACCATAAAATGCTTTTTGAAAGCATCTAGAAAGAAAAGAATGTGGTCACAAGTCAGGAAGGGTATGAGTTACTACAACAGGATTGTAGCCTTCTTCCTGAATTAGAATTTGTATGAGAATAGGATTCTGTCTGGAAGACTTAGGGAGAAAGAAATGGTAGTGGGCACTAAAGCGTAGAATCTGGTAGTAAATAAAGACTTAAGGTTAAGAATTTAAGAGGTTAACAACAGGCTTATTTTTAATAATAATAATAAAATAATTAACGTTTGTGGATTTTTTTTTTCTATTTGCTGGCCACCACGTGAACATATGCCATTTTATTTAATCCTTATTAGTTACTTTTATCTCCACGGACATGGAAGCTGAAGGCATTTCACTGACTTCTCTAAGATCAAACAGCTGGTTAAGTTCGCCTGCATTACTTATGTTGTTACTGATGACTGATCGTAGGCTTGCCCAGGATCAGAAATCTAGTCTGTTGTGGAGGTGGGGTTTTGAACTAGCAATTCTGATCATGAAGCTCACGGTCTTGGTCCACTCTACGAAGCAGATGCTGGAAAGATAAAGTTGGAAGATGGTAATCTTTGACTCGCTCTTCTCCTGGAACCTAAAATTACTTGACAGATATGAGCAAGAAAGAATGTAAGTCAAGTAGGCGTGGGAGACCTGCTGCTGAAGATGGCGCTGGGAGCTGAGAATGGCTCAGAATCATGGGAGCATTCGCCTAACTGGCAAGATGGCATAACTGGTAGCGAATGTTAGTTATCCTCACTGAGTTGGAAATTCTTTCCTTAAAATGCCAGTAGTTAATTGGTTTATTTCATTACCAAATGTAGTGAGGGGCACGGTTCTTAAGTAAATAAGCAGGACTGCATTCCAGGTCCAGGTCATATGGGGCTGGTTGATGGGGTTGGGCTTTTTAGATCAGTGTAAGGCAGAGGCCAGTGAAGTGGGTAGCTGCTTCCAATGCAAGAGTGGTTTGACCGTCTTGGTGTTACCTTGGAGGCTGAATATAAGGCATCATACTAAGGTTATGGAAGGCTGAAGTAGGATTTGTGCTGCCTTTTAGCCCTTCAGAGAACTGGACTGTCAATAATGACGGCAATAAGGAGAATAACAGTAAACATTTATTGGGTGCTCATTGTGCTTTGCAGAGCATTGTGTTCAGTGCTTGCCTTGCATTATCTCGGTAGGCGAGGGCTACTATTACCCTTATGTTGTTAATGAGGGTAAGTGCCTTGCCCATTGTCAGAAATCTAGTCTGTTGTGGAGGTGGGATTTGCACTTAGGTGCCCTAACCCATAACTTGTACTCTTAACTGCTTTTGTGCAGCCCTTTCAGCTCATTACTTCTAAGAAGTGTTCAGCTACAGAACAAAGGGTCATATAATCGGAGAGAGAAAGAAACCGAAGAGAGAGCAGAAAGAACTTCATTTTACTGTGTGTATCCCTATAAGTGTAAGGGTGTGTGTGCGCGCGCGCGCGTGTGTGTGTGTGTGTGTGTGTGTCCATCCATATGTTTTGTTCTGTTTGGGACAGTGAACTATCCAACCTAAATATCTTGTGTTTCCCATTACCTCTCCTTCCTTTTGACCACAAGTGCATGTGTTCACTTATTCATTTGTTCATTAATTTAATCCAGCGATTTCCAACCTTTTTCATTTTATGGCACATACAGACTCATTAAAATTCTGTGGCACACCAAAAAATATATTTTGTCTATCTGAAAAAAAAGGTGTAATTTTGATTGATTTACAATAATAATAATAATTTCCTACATTTTTTGCTCCAAAGTGACTTTTTAAAAAATCAGGTGCCTATACTTATATAGAAGGGTTTCTGGTACCAAGAACTAACCAATCAAATGCAACCTTATTATAAAAAAATCAGGTCTATACACATATAGAAGGGTTTCTGGTACCAAGAACTAACCAATCAAATGCAACCTTATTATGTGATATGACCAATAAGATACAGTTTTATTATATATTACATAATATATATGATATATACATATATATAATATATATGTATATATATTATATATATATAATAGATTCAACACAGGGCATTCACACCGGATGGTGTTGTGTTGGCTGTTGTCATTTTTTAAAATTTGACAATCTAAGGGAAAAGAAGTCAGTGCCCTTGATTAAATAGTCAAGTATTGTATGTTTTAAAAATTCTTGCAGCACACAGGTTTAAAATCGCTGTTTTAATCATTCAGTAATCATTGCATAAGCCAGCCAGTATTCCAGGCACTAGGAATGCAGTGGTGAATAAGATAGATATAGCTCCTACTCAGTTGGAGAAGACAGACAACCAGAAAACAAACATGTCAGTCAGATAGTGTTAAGTGCTGTTAAACTAGGACAGGGTAATGAAAGGAGTGACTGGTAGGAGGCTGCTTACTGTACCATGACAACATCTGTGTAGCTAACAAAAATAATAACAACATTGGGAAACATGTGGTAGGTAGGGTAGAGGTATGGAAGAAAGAGTGGACTAGAAATTAGCAGGCATAATATTCTGCTTAAGGAGGATGGGTTTGGGGGAATATGAAAATTAGGATAGGGCAGGGCAAAATGTAACAAGATATGCTAGTGAATTCTGGGCATGTGGAGATTGGTACCACAGTGGTTGTATAAATAGGCTTTCCCTGCTCTCGGCTGTAATAATTAGTTAGAACTGTTGCACCTTGTACTTTGGGATGTGGTATTTTAGGAATAGTAATACTGTTTCACAGCAAACTTGGAATAATCATTTTTCTCTTTGTTTTGTTTCCTTTACACCTCATTTTGGTGTAAAAGTTACATATGATGTGTGTGAGCATTTCTGAATGGCAGTTTTTCTTCCCAACCCAGCATATACTCTGTTTTAATTTAAAAGTGCATGGTGGAGGAACAGTAATCGCACCTTGGTGGGATTTCCAGGCAGGAGGTGCAGTCGAGTTCTTTCATGGCTTGTTAGTCATGTTCCCTGGAGTTTCATTTCAATAATGAAATGACCGTTTTAAGTGCAATCACTGGAAACTGCCAGTCTTTCCTTAAAGACTGAATGGAGCCTTTGCGTCTTTTTTATAAAATCTAGGAGAATATACGTGAAAGAAATTTAACTTTTCTGATGATTCATTTTATGAAACACTTTGATGCCCCATGCACTTGGGGGTGCCAATACTAAGCCTTTGGTAGGTTCTCTGTTTCATCAGGTTTCTGCACAGCATCTAGTGGGACGTTTAATGCAACAGGCATATTTTCATGGCTTTGCGGTGCAGCTGTATTTTCATGACATGTTACAATCATAAATACCATCTTTTCTTTTCTAGGAAAATGGCATTCCTACAAAGAGAGCACGGAATGATGAATCTGAGGTATACCTAAAGGTGTCTGTTTTTGTGAATCATTGATATTGTCTGTTAAAGACCTTGATGACAGTTTGCATTTGTAAAGTGCTTCTGAATTTTCCCCTGAAAGACTTTCGTGTGCAATCTGATGTTTTTCTTCTTCTGGTATCACTTTAAGACACAAGTGATGCTATTACTATTTCACTTTTTTTTTTCTTATAGTAAAATATACATAACAAAATTTACCATTTTATTAATTGCACACTTTTTTACATGTATCTTAAAGTATTCAGTCATCATCATTTTATTGCAAGGGATATGTTTTGACAGCTGTTTTAGAATCCAGGAAAAGTCTTTTGGAGATAAAGAAAAAGATAGTTTTACCAGCTGATATGCTAAAATTTCTTGACTTAGGACCAGAACATTTGATTGATGTCTGTCATCCCATGTCTTGCTATTGATCAATGCCTTTTTATCTCGTTGATACCAGATGGCTTTTCTGCCACCTTCCTCTGCTTTCCTTTTCCTTCCTAACCTTATTTTCATCCTTTCTCTTCTCTAAGTGAAACTTAGGACCTCAGCCTTTGCATCTACTTCCAAACATAGCTATGAGGGCTGTTTAATTTGTACACCTTTGTCTGTCATCAATCTTGTACTTTCCTAACATGGAAAATGGTAAATGGTGCTTAAGCCATCTACAATGGAACCATGTAGGGCACTTCTTAAAATTTTAGATTCCTGGTCCCATTCCCATCAGAATCTCTGCTTGATGGGAACTGGTTAGAATGCATGTTGAAACTAGTGTTCCAGGGTATCCTGTACACGCTGAAGTTTGAGAACCACTGCCCTACATGTTGGGTAAAAAATCATTCAGGGCCTCAGACTTTATAGGTTCCTAGAGACTTTAGGTGTGTTAACCTGTAAACAGTTGTTTCAGTGAAAAAAAATGAATTCTTTTGAGTTCATACAGCTGACTTAAAATTTCATATTTAGAACATGGTTTCTATCAGAGACTGCATGACTTGAACTTTTTATTTTTAAAAATTCTCTTCCATTTCCCTCATCCACCATCCCTGGCAACCACTTTTCTATGCTCTGTTTCTATGAGCTTGACCCTTTTGAAGATTCACACGTAAGTGATGCCATACAGAATTTGCCTTTCTCTGCCTTATCCAGAAAACGTAATGCCCTGAAGGTCCATCCATGTTATGGTAAATGGCAGGATTCCCTTCTCCTGGTTGAGTAGTATTCCATTGTGCATATGTACCATATCTTCTTTATCCATTCATCTATTGGTGTACACTTAACGTTGTTTCTGTGTCTTGCCTATTGTGAATAATGCTGCAGTGAGCATGGGAATGCAGACAGCTCTTTAATATCCTGTTTTTTTTTCCCCTTTGTATATATACCCAGAGGTGGAATTGCTGGATAATGTAGTTCTGTTCTTAATTTTTCGAGGCACCTCCGTACTGTTTTCCATAGCAGCTATACCAATTTACATTCCCATCAACAGTGCATAAGGGTTCCCTTTTCTCTACATCCTCACCAGTACTTGATATTTCTTGTCTTTTTTATAACGGCCATTCTAAAAGGAGCAAAGTGATATCTCATTGTGGTTTTGATTTGCACTTCTGTGATGACTAGAGATGTAGAGCACCTTTTCATGTACCTGCTGGCCATCTGTATGTCTACTTTAGAAAACTGTCTATTGTTCAGTTCTTCTGGCCATTTTTAATCAGGATTTTTGCTGCTTTTTTTTTTTTTTTTTTTGCTATTGTATGAGTTTATGTATTTTGGTTATTAACCCCTTATCAGATTTATGACTTGTAAATATCTTTGCCCATTCCCTAGGTTTTTATTTATTTTATTTTGTTGATGGTTTCTTTTGCTATGCAGAAATTTTTGTTTGTTCTTTTAATCCTCACACTCAAGGTTATATTTTTATAGCTTTTAGAAAAAGAGGAAGGGGGAGAAAGAGAGAGAGAGAGAGAGAGAGAGAAAGAGAGAGAGATTGATAGATTGATTGAGATTGATCAGTTGCCCCCGAACCTGCAACCTAGGTATATTCTCCAACTGGGTATCGAACCCAAAACCTTTTTCGGAATGATGTTCCAACCAACTGACCACGGGGCCAGGGCAGCTATGCGGAAGTTTTCTAGTTTGATGTAGTCTCGTTTATTTTTGCTTTTGTTGCCTTTGTTTTTAGTGTGAAATCCAAAGACTGTTTGATATTTTAAGTTAGTAAAAGGAAAAAGGGTGATTTCTTCCCTTATACATATAAAATATACTGACTGCTTTTTCATGTTATTAGTTTTCTTTCTGATTTCTACAATAAACATAGGAGGGAAATGGAGAGTTAGAAAAGAACTGAGGGGAAGGTAAATGTCTCTGGTTCATACTCAACTTTCTGATTTAAAATGTGCCCTCCTGTATCGTTGTGGTTGTCTGATAAATTTCAGCAGACCATTATGGCTTTATAATTAACACTATTGTTAGGATAACCAGAGTAACATGGGCTTTAAAAAATTATAGGTCATACACATTTTAGCTGGAGAGAAGAGGACTGGTAATACGCTCTTAGTGAACAGGAACAAATGGTGAGGGGAGTGTGGTTTGCAGGCTGAAAATTCAAACCTCATCTATTGTTCTTTTAGTCTAATTCAAGTCTCTGTGAGTGGTTTTGGTAGATATCATTGTGTAAAACAATTGTCACCAGCTCAGTCTTCTCTGCCACCTCTGAGTACGCATCTGCATGCTCCTGTTCTCTTAGAGCCAGGCTTTCAGGGATGAATAAATTATGTGAACATCTGCCATTTATTTTTTTACAGCTACTTCAGACATATTTAAACAGGTGCTGGGTACCTCATGAAAGAGCATGCGAAATGAAACCTAACAGTGGGACCGTGTACCAGGTTGCTAGGATAGGTCTGAGACATCTCCCAAGGAGCAGTTGTTGAGAATTCATTCTCGGCTTTGTTGTTTAGCTCACTAAGAGTACATGGCTTTGTCATCGGTAAATTTTAGCCTTATCTAGAAAAACATAAAAGGCATCAGTACTTTGTGGTTCAATTTATACCTATATTTAATTGTGTAAATGACATTGTTTGAATTAATACCATTTATGTTTCACTAAGAAAGCCCCAGATATTGTTTATCAGCTCTTTAAACCAGAGGTTCTCAACTCTGCTGCATATTAAAATTGCTTGGACAGCTTTAAAAAATAGGCAGTACCCTGGCTGTTCCCCCTGCCTCCTCTCAAAAAAAGAAAAAAAAGATAATTGAGAGGAGGGGCTCTTTTCTAATTGGTTAAAGTTCTCCAGATGATTTTCCTGTTTGGCATGATTGGGAATAGATCTGTTTAATCACTGTTTCTTAAATGATCTGTTGAATGACTAGATTTTGTTGTTGTTATTTCTGGTCTGTTATGAACTGACTAGAGGCCCAGTGCATTTAAATTTGTGCACTTGGGGGGGGGGGTCCCTCAGCTTGGTCTGCAGTTTCTCACAGTCCAGGACCCCTCAGGGGATGTCCACCTGCTGCTGCAGAGGCGGGAGAGGCTCCTGCCACCGCCACTGTGCTCGCAGCCATCAGCCCGCTGCATTGAGCGTCTGTCCCCTGGTGGTCAGTGTGTGTAGGGTGAATTTGCATATTACCCTTTTATTATATAGGATACTTTAAAAAATGCCATCAAAGTGAATTATTAGGAAGGTATAATTCAGGTTTCAAATTGATATTTTTAGGTTCAGTAGACATAAAAATTGCTATAAATGATTCCAAATGAATTAATAACAATCAGCTTGCAGATTAGTCCTGGTCCATGACCACACTTGGGGTAGCACTGATTTAAACCATTGCTTTGCTGGGATAAGTTATTAGTTATTGATATAAAAATGGCATGAACCTTAAGACTTTATCTTTGTAACTCTAAAACTGTGGACAATTATACCCTTATGTTCCTAGTTACTGTAGGAAATAGTTTTTACTCACCATTGACCAAGGGTCTCCTTTGTTTTAAGCACTCTGCAAAGTTCAAAAATGGTAAGAAATAATGGTCCTTTGTAAGTTTAGGAAACCAAAGATCATGAGACAGAAAAGTGTCTCTCTTTGTAAGCTTTATAACTACCTGCCGATGTCCTTAATTTTACACGATCATAATTTGAGTTTAAATATTGTTTTATAATTTTCAAAATATTTTACTTTATAATTTTCTGTGTATTTTCATTTAAATTATATGATTGATCTTCATACCAACCTTGTGTGGTGAGTAGGACAAAGATTATCACACGTACTTTACAGATTGGAAAAGTGAGACATTCAGCTTACATGGTGGACCTCGTCTCTATTTTAGTTTAAAAATAAAAATTAAAATAAGTTTCCTGACTTCATTATGGTTCTGTCACTATACTGCTAAGGTATCTTCAGAAATGTAGCAACTCCTAACATTGTGTAATAGTAGTCAAGTGACATGATGGCTTAAATTCTGCTGTGTTTTAGACAACTTCTCTAATTGTTTAGAGGAAATTTAAGATGTAGGCAGACATATGATACAGACTCTAAACATTTGTGTGTGTGTGTGTGTGGTGGGGGGGTAGGGAGTGGGGGGGAACTAAAACATTCTCCTACAGGAGATAAGTGAAAAAATAAAGGATAGATTAAAAAACTAAATTTTCTTTTTTTTTAACTGCAGAATTTGTTTAATATGGTTGTTGAAGTACCTCGGTGGACAAATGCTAAAATGGAGGTATGGATATAGTCTATTACTATCAAATGGTTAGTTATTTAAGCCTTCTTCTACGACTTTGGATTTGATGGCAGGTATGATTTCAAGTATTTAAATTAAGGATTGTTATGCACATGTATAATTTTCAGAATTTTTACTTGGAGAATTGTCAGTAATTTTACTAGGTCCTGGTAGTATTTTTTTTTTGGCTAATATTTTGTTGTCAATCCTCACCTGAGGATATTTTTTCCATTGGTTTTTAGAGAATGGAAGGGAAGGAGGGAGGGAGAGAGAGCAAAACATCAATGTGAGAGAGACACATCGATGGATTGCCTCATGCACAAACCCTGACCAGGGCTGGGTATCAAACCTGGAACCCAGGTATGTGCCCTTGACTGAGGTGCAAGGGCTGACACTCTAATCACTGAACCATGCTGGTCAGGGCTTAGGTAATCCTATATAATATAAGGCTAATATGCAAGTCAACCAAATGGTGGAACAACCAGTTGCTATGACGTGCACTGACCACCAGGGGGAAGACACTCAACGCAAGAGCTGCCCCCTGGTGGTCAGTGCGCTCCCACAAGGGGAGTGCCACTCAGCTAGAAGCCAGGCTTATGGCTAGCAAGAGCAGCAGTGGTGGTGGGAGCCTCTCTGGCCTCTGCAGCAGTGCTAAGGATGTCTGACTGCCAGCTTAGGCCTGCTCCCTGTGTTGTGCAGGCCTAAGCTGGCAGTCAGACATCCCCTGCGGGCTCCTGGACTGTGAGAGGGTGCAGGCCGGGCTGAGGGACCCCGCCCCTCCCACCACCCTGAGTGCATGAATTTTCGTGCACTGGGCCTCTAGTATTTTAATAGAAAAAAGTTGGTCTTGTTTCAACTATACTGTTTCATCATTCTGGCTACTCTCTACTTGAGGATATAGGATCAAGACTCTGTGAGATTCTACCTAATTTAAGCAGTGTTTATTTATTCAAACATGGCTTCAGTTATTATTGTTTACTTTATAAGATAGGTTTTTGTGAGTGTGTGTGTGTGTGTGTGTGTGTGTGTGTGTTGCATGGCAATTTGGATATGTCTGATAGAAAGGTAACTTGGAAATGAAATCACTTCGTGAAAACCTGTGAGTTAACTTTATTATAAGATTGATGGTAACGAGCTTGAGATCAGTAACAAAAAGCAAGTTGATTAATTTTTATCCTCTTACTATTTCAATCATTTCTGTTAGATATAATGAGTGCCTAAATAATAGAGTGCCTAAGTGTATAATCTATTTCTTTTCCAGATGGTTTTTCTTACACAGTACTCTAAATTAGAAATAAGAGCTAGCTTAATTTATTTTAAAGTATCTTTGATCAGTAAATTGGAATATGAGTATTTAGTCTTATTATAGCAGATCTTAAAAATACTATTTAAAGATAGGACTAATCATTTCTCATCCTTCTACCCCCTTTTGTTCATGATCGGCTTAGATTGCCACAGAGGAGCCATTGAATCCCATTAAACAAGACGTAAAGGATGGCAAGCTACGTTATGTGGCGAATATTTTTCCTCATAAGGGTTATATATGGAATTATGGTGCCCTCCCTCAGGTAACATTTTTGTTATAATGGTAAAACTTTCCTGTCTTCTGAAAAAATTACCTTGTAAATCCTGTGAACTACTTGAATTTAAATTGATTCTGAAGACATGTCAGTTTGAGAGATTTGTAAATTTAAAATTTTTTAATGTTGTTTTATTGTATCAATAAATTTTTTTCAAACTTTAGTCTGTACTGTAGCTCTTGGAGTTAGGCTTATAGAACACTCACATTTGGCATTTTGAACACTTTTTTTTTCTGGGCTTGGCTATTAAGATTCAGTGAAAAATGTTTTTCTGCTTTATCTGTCGTCATTTTTTTGAATATGACAAACAATGCATTTATATATTCACATAGTAGCATGAATTTTATTTTTTAAACTTTAACAGATGAATTTTTAAGGAATTAACTTTTTTCAGAACTCATGGTGAATTGAGTTAGAAGACTTAATTATTCATTATTATGAATTTCTAACTGTTCAGTGGAAAGCAGTGAAAGCAAGGGCTAAAAAATGGTAAAATAGCATTCCTGTTAGAGAATGACACTTTGTTTTTCATTCTTTCTTATTCTTTTTGTTTTCTTCTTCTGTTTCTCACTTCTAGGAAGTGGTGACTTTTCTAGATGATTTGGTGAATAAAATTCAGAATATGCAAAATCAAAAGGCTAAGTTTTGGTGACATAGAGAGGTATCTGCCTTTATGTTTATAAAAGCCATTAGACCATTCATCTATCTGGATGTTCATTTTGTATTTTCATTTTTTTAATTAATTTTAACATTTTGCATGAAGTTCCAAAATGCTTTTAGGAAAGTTTCTGAGGAAAGGAGTCTTACTTTATCCAACTCAGAAACACAGCTGCCTGTATAGAATAAACATTCACAGGAAAAGAAAAAAGAAAATAGTTTTCTAAGGAATCAGGCTGCCTTTGATGCAGTTAGACCACCCACGTGGAAAGGTTCTTTGTTAAACAGGCACTTTTAAAACGACCTGCTCAGAATGAGAATGTCTGTTGAAACCAAGAAGATAGCTTTTGTGCACACCAGGTGCCTAAATAGACATTTTGTTTGACCTGGTGAACAGATAAAAAATAAATAAGTAAAATAATTGTTAAGCTTAAGGGATACTTTCTGCATAATAAGTGACCAAAGAATATGGGTTTTGGGGTCGGATTGCCATTTATTAGTAATGTAGCCTTAGACAAGTATTGTCTTTCTTTGCTCACTTTCTTCATCTATAAATTAGAGATGATAAAGTACTGCAAGTGGTTGTGTTGGGGTTTAATGAGTTATTGCAGATTCATCTTAGAATAGTGCCTTATAGGTAGTAAATCACATTATTATTACTACTGTTATCTTTATTATTATATGGTCTTTTTTCTAAAGGGATTTATAGTCTCATGGGGGTGATTGACAGCTAAACCAGTAGTTACAGTGGAGCATAGTAGGTGCTACGAATTATTTCTAAGCTTTTGTAGTTTACCTAAGGCCTGATGAATTTTTGTACTTCTCTGCACGTGTTTGAAGTCTCGAGATGCTCTTATTTGCTTTATATTAGTCTGTTAAGTACAGTGGTTCCTATTTATGTACAACAGAATTGGGCTCCAGCAGTCTCTGAATGCTCCTGTCTTCACCGTTGCCTACCAACATTTCACGCTCCACCAGCATCCAAATATAGCATTTTAAAAACAGATTTGCTAATGTTTTATTTATATGAGAACCTTTTAATGGTTTCCTATTGTTCAAAGGATATACAAGAACATTCTTAACATGGCCCCCCCAACCCTGCATAATTTGGCCCCTGCTTTTCCAGCCTCATTTTGCAACACTTGTCCTTCCTCACTTCCAGTCCTTTGCCATCTTCTTCAGTGTTCCTCATTTCTCTTGCCATTTCCACAGCAGGCCTTCACAGAGCTGCTCCTTCATTCAGGACATAGTTTTTTAGTGCCTGATGTTTGCCAGGCCATGTTCTAAGTATTGGAGGTAAAGTAGTGATAAAAGTGACACAGATTCTCTGAGGCTTTTATCCTGGGCAGAGACAGACAAAAAACTATTAAAATATACATCAGATGGTGTTGTGTTGGAGAAAAATAAAATAGGAAATGGGGCTAGGGTGTGTTGGGATTGTTGCAGTTTAGGCAGGGAGAAGGCTCAGTGAGAAGGTGTTATTTGAGTGAGGACTTAAGGGAGGTGAGGGAACAGGTAGTAAGGCTGTCTAGAGCTGTGGTCGGCAAACTGCGGCTTGCCAGCCACATGTGGCTCTTTAGCCCCTTCAGTGTGGCTCTTCCACAAAATACCACATGTGGGCGCACACGTGCATGTACAGTGCGATTGAAACTTCGTGGCCAATGCACAGAAGTCGGTATTTTGTGGAAGACCCGGTATTTTGTGAAAGAGCCACACTAAAGGGCCAAAGAGCCGCATGTGGCTCGTGAGCTGTGGTTTGCCGAGCCGCAGTTTGCCAGCCATTGGACTCTAGAGAATTCAGCAAGAAATGCAAGTATAAAGACCAGGGGGAAGTAGGTCTTATTTGTTTGAGAAACAGAAAGGAGGCCACTGTGGCTAGGATGGAAGTGAGCAAAAGGAAATAGACCTGTATTCTCTCTGCCCTTTTTTTAAAATTACTGGTGCTTTTATTTTATATTCAGGTAGGATTGGTTAATAACATTATAAAAGTTTAGGTGTACAACTTTAAAATTTGATATTTGTATGTACTATAGTGTGGCCAAAAGTCTAGTTTCTGTCTGTTACTATACATTTGACCCCCTGTACCCATTTCACCCTCCCTCCACCCCTCTTCCCATCTGGTAACTACAAGGAGATACCACCTCACACCTGTTAGAATGGCTGTTATCTAAAAAGGACTGATAACAAGTGCTAGAGAGGGAGGGTGTGGAGAAAAGGGAACTCTTGTACACTGTTGGTGCAGCCACTATGGAAATCACTATGGAGGTTCCTCAGAAAAATTGAGACTAGAACTACTCTATGATCCAGTCAGTCTTCTGGGTAATTATCCCAAGAATATGAAAATACTAATTTGAAGAGATATATGCACTCCTATATTTGTTGCAGCATTATTTACGGTAGCCAAGATATGGAAGCAACGTAAGTGTTCATTGAGGTTTGAATGTATTAAAAAGTGGTATATATATATATGTGTGTGTGTATGTGTATGTATGTATACACACACACAATTGAAAAATACTTAGTCATAAAAATTGAAATGTGGCAATTTGCAACAATATCTTGAAGGTACTATGCTAAGTGAAATACCTCAGAAAGAAAAGGATAAAAACTATGATTTCACTCATGTGAATTACAATACAAGAAATCCTATCTAATAATAGACAAAGATGGTAATTGACCATACCTTTGCTATGCCTCCCATTGGCTAATCAGTGCAATATGCAAATTAACCGCCAACAAAGATGGCGGCTAATTTGCATACTACAGGCAGGATGGGACAGCGCGTGCCATCAGCACACCACCATCCAGGGCAAGCCAGCCCTGGAAGACAAAGCCGGGCTGCCTTGCCGCCGGAGACCCGATCCGCCCTGAAAGACCCAGAAGCCAGACAACGTGAGCTCAGCATCCAGCTTGACTGTGTGGAGGGAGGGAAGAGGAGGGGCCTCGGGCCAGAGTCCGCAGCAAGGGACCCTGGGCTTGCAGTGATGTGAGCCTAGTGTCCGGGCCGAAGGAGGGGAGGGGAAGGGCCTCGGGTCAGAGTCCGCACCCTGGCCAGGTGGAGGGAGGGGAAAGGGGGGGCCTCGGGCTGGAGTCCGCAGTGAGGAACGCTGGGCTTGCAGCAACAGGAGCCCAACATCTGCTCACCGGCCGGGCGGAGGAAAGGGAAGGCAGGGGTCTTGGGCCGGAGTCCGCAGGGAGGAAAACTGGGCTCACGGAGTTCGCCTCCAGGGATGTTCAGGCTCCATGCCCCGAGCTGAGTGGAGGGAGGAGAGAGGAGGGGTCTCAGGCTGGAGCCTGTGGCAAGGAACGCTGGGCTTATAGCCACTGGAGCCCAGTGTTTGCACTCTGGCCGGGCGGAGGAAAGGGAGGGCAGGGGCTTTGGGCCAGAGTCCACGGTGAGGAACGCTGTGCTCACTGTGACGCAAGGCAGCGTCCACGCCGAAGGAAGGGAGGGGAGGGGCCTTGGGCCAGAGTCCCTGGTGAGGGATGCTGGCATCATTGCAGGCACGGCTATGGGCCCTCCCCCATGCATGAATTTCACCGCCGCCCCCCCCCCCCCCACACACACACACTAATTTCATGCATCGGGCCTCTAGTAAACAAGTAAATAAACAAACCTAAAACAAACTGCCATTTTTAACCAGAGATTTTTGCTATCTTTTTAAACTCAAACTGATCTTGTAGTGTGTGTGTGTGTGTGTGTGTGTGTGTGTGTGTGTGTGTATGAATGTGTGTGTTAGTCTTCAGCAAAAGAATATACTACAGATTGCATAGAAGTTATTTACCAAACACACCCCCCCCCAAAATAAGTTAATGTTTATAAAAAGTAGAAATTAGGTCAGTTGTTTTATGGGAAAGGATAAATAGCTTCCTTGTACATATTAAGACAGAATGAGCCTGTTAATACGGAAGCCAGCTCCTGGTTCCATTTACATTTTTTTCTAAATATGTTTTTATTGATATTAGAGAGAGAGAGAGAAACATCAATGAGAGAGAAACATCGATTGGTTGCCTCCTGTACATACCCTAACTGGGGATTGAACCTGCAACCTAGGCATGTGCCCTGATTGGGAATCAAACCGGTAACCTTTCAGTGCATGGAATGATGTTTAGTCAACTAAGCCACACTGGCCAGGACTCCATTTGCATTTTTGGTCTCATCTCCAACTTCCCCTCATCCTTCTCCTCCTGCTCCATCACTGCCACGGTGACCATCTCACAATCCTCTGGTACATCAGGCATGCTCCTGCCTCAGGCCTGCACATTCGCTCTTTCCTAGATGTGCACATGGCCTGCCCCTTACATGATTGCTCAGGAGTCATCTTCTTCCTGATGTCTGCCCTGCACATCCTTTACAGCTTTAACTCTGCCTCCTGTACTCTCATTCCATCTTCCATACTTTATTTCTTTCCCTTTTTCGTAACACCTACCAACATCTATGCTATGTAATTTAGTTATTTGTGTTTATTGTTAATTCTTCCAGCTAGAATGCAGACTTCATGAAGGATTCTATCTGTTTTGTTCACTGATGTCTCCCAACTGCCCAGCTTAGTGCTTGGAGCAGAGTAGGCAATCAATAAATATTTGTGGAATGAATAAATTAATGCATTGTGTCAGCTGCATTTGTTTCATAGATGTGTGTGGGTTTTTGCTATTCTCTTAGGATTTGTCTTGTAACAGCATGATTTTGTTCAAGCAGTTACCAAGCCAACCGTGCTTGCAAGAACGTTTAAGCAGCAGAACACTGTGTAAGTAGCAGTCTCTCTACTTAGCCTGTGATTCATCAGAGTGCCATCATTATTTCAGACCGTGAGCTGTCTAGCTGTTTCACCTAGTACCTTCTTCCACACTAGCAATAGTGCCTTCCTCAGACCTGAGTTTGGCCTGGACAAAAGTCGTCTTTGTCTTCCCCCGATCTTTCTGAACGAATACTTAGAGGACCCATCTGGATGATGTTCAAGGACTAGAATCACTAAATTCAAGATTTCTTCCATCTTAATATATGATGGTTGTGTTTATTATTTTGACCTTTATTATAGATTTGGTTCCTTGACCCCAGGTGTCATGTAGTACCACTTAGTAGCTTTGTAACCTGGGACCAGCAACCACATTGCTCTAGGTCTATTTGTTTGCCTCTGTCATCCTACCACCTACCCCACACGGTGATTGAGAATTTTGAATAAGTTGGTCAAAGCCAAGTGCTTAGCCCGATAGTGAGTTCTCAGTCATGTTGTCTCGATGATGACACTGTTGCCTGCTGATGTGAGCTGCCAATAGTGACACTGCTGGTAGAGGCTCTGGCTCCCAGTTGAAGCTGGTAAAGAGCAGGTAACTGAGGAGGTCCTGCTTCCTTTGACTTGGTGACAAGAATCCTGCTTAATCAGGAAGGAGTTTTCAAGAAACACCTACATGTACAGCTCTGTACAGGGCAGTGATGTTTTAAAGAGACCTAAGGACCAGAGCACGATGATTGTATTGGCTAATATTCATAGATGGTTTTCAGACACAGAAAGGCAGGCCCAGTGCTGGTTCCTTGTCAGAGGAGCAGTGAGCGATGGAAGCAGCAGTTCGGGCAGTCAGTGGGAACAGGGCGTAGACAGTGGGAACATCCGCGCTGAAACTCGAAACGTGAACATGGATTGAGACACTGACAGAACTTGGAAGAAGATTATGTTTGGAAATACCACCCACTTTCAGATGTGATTATACAAACAAATGAAAGACCGAGGGGAGGAAATACTATAAATAGGCTTTAAGTATTATTGTGCTTGAGGATGTACTGGCATGTTGGCATCGAGCCTATATAATTTCTGAGAATTTTCCTTTGGATTGTGGCTGTCTATAAGACGTCATGACTGTGTGGAAAGGTTAAAGTACATTATAGTGAATATTAACCTGTTTTTCTGCTTCTCTCCCCCTCTCCCCCTTCTTTTAGACTTGGGAAGATCCCCACAGAAACGATAAGAGCACAGACTGCTGTGGAGATAATGATCCTATTGATGTCTGTGAAATAGGTTCAAAGGTTGGTTATATAGACTGTTATTCTAATGGGGTCTGGTTTATTCATGCCATAAAATTTCAGTTCTCTTTGGAAGCCACCAGTTCTTCAGTTCTTCAAAGTTCTAGCCCTCAATCGCTCTGGTATCAGTACCTTTTTGTATCTTTACTTCCTTCTCTTAAACTGGGGATTGGTACACTATAGCCCAGTGGCTGGTCAAATCTAGCTCACCACCTGTTTTTATAAATTACACAACTACACCCCCTCATTTATGCATTGTCTGAGGAATGGTAGCAGAGACCGCATGACCTGCAAAGTCTAAAGTATTTACTGCCTGAGCTTTTACAGAAACATTTTGCTAAGTCCTGTCCTCGGCTTCCTTGCCCATTATCCAGACAGGAAATTCAAAACCGATGAAAGCCACGGGCTCTCTTTTTGTGTGTGCCTGCTTCCAGGTTGCCAAGTCCTAGGGAAGCAAGACCTACAGTGTCAAGGTTGCTGCTACCCATAGAATTCTGTGAGTCCTCAGTCAGATCTTTTTTCTATTTTCTACTGCATTTATTGCTAATAATTGTTATTTATATAGACTTTCAACTCCTTGCACTTTGTTCTCATTCCCAGCACAGTGTCTTGTCTTTCATCTTGTCGAGCTCAGAGAAACCCACAGTGAGAATTCCCTCACCTTTCCACCCTAGCCTGCCATACTACCTGTGCCTGCAAACATTGTTTCTCCCTTTCGTCTGGACCTGGGAGAGTTGCCTTTTCTTGTCCAAGTCCAGTGCTTCCCTTCTTGCCTCTGAGTGACAGTATTTTTCTATCGTTATTTTGTCCTGTATTTATAACTTATCTTTCTTGTCTTCCTTCAATATGTCTCCTATCTTCTTTCCTTTCACACGAAGGCTTGTAAAGAGTTTCCCACTTAATCTTCAAGCTATTTCAGAATTGTTTTCATCCTGCCATTATTTCAATGAAACTGCTCTCACTAAGGTCCCTGGTAATTCTTTTAGCCAAATCCAAGAGGCCTATTTCATGTTGACATAAGAAATGTCCAAACTTATACAAATTTTGAGTTTATTTGAGCCAAACTGATGACAATGGATTGAGAAAATGCTCCAGAGAATGGCAGTTGTAAACCTGTTTTATACATTACAATTAAAAGAGATGTGAAGGAGTTACATGAAATTCATTGATGATAGATAGATTAGGGAGGTAGGAGAAAGCAAAGCTAGGGGCTGGGGTTGATCTCCGGGATTGGATAAAAAGTAAAAGGGATAGACACACACTTCTTTTCTATTAGTGGGTATAGGATAGTTAATAGTCAACAATTAACAAGGTAACAATAACAATGAGAAGTTCTGTGGTCTCTGCTTTGGTTCAGTGATTGTGCCCTTAAGGGTCTGGAAAAAAGAAATTACTCTGACATTCCAAAGGTTTGCTATGGCAGATGTTAAAAGACAATAGACCGGCTCCTTTAAGGTAAAGATTGACCTTTGTCAAGGAAGATACCAGCCTAGTACAAGAGAATACTCACCAAGACTTGATTTTGCTTAGGAAGCTTTTATTTCAGACCATCCTGTGGTGTCACTTTAGGTATCTGAGTTTGTCAGGCCTGCCATGCGGGCCTCCCCTGAGCTTGTCAGTTTTAATGTGTGGCCCCTTTTTCGTCCACACGTCTAACTTGTTACTGTTAACCTTGTCTTTCTTCCTGAGACAGTCTCTTCACTTTATTTTGATTGTGTCATAATCGCTTGGATAGTCTCTAATTCTGGTTTCTTATTGGTTTCTTTCGCAAGCTCCTTTTCTTCTGCCTGTTCCTTAAGGATTGGTTAGCTTGAGGGTTGAGTCCCTGTCCCAGCTAGGAACTCCCTTGGCGGTCCCATCCCAAGCACTCCTAGTTTTGCTCTCAAATTAGTATCTCTAGCTCAGACCTGTATAGTCAGCTGCCTGCTTCTGCCCTGGGGATGTCTCCCACACATCTCAAACTCACTGTGTCCAAACAGTTCATTCTTCCCTCCTCTCCTGTAACTCCTCTCAGTATTTTTAGTCCCCCAAATTGAGGAGTCATCCTTGCTCATTCTTTGCTTTCCTTCATCCGTTAGTCATGAAATATAAATTCTGTATTCCAGATAGCCTTTAACTCTACTTCTTTTTATTCTCACTGCAGCTAGCTTTGTCAAGTCCCCTATTTTTTCTCAGTTATTCCTGCTAGTGACCAGTTTCCTCTCTGAGCCTTCTTTTCCTACCATCATTTATCCCAGACGCCTCCTGCTTTGCTCTTCTTTAGCACCTGGCTTCCTCTCCTGGAACTCCCCGTTTGCAGACCACCCTCCAGCTGCATCCATCTTTCACTTCCTGTAGTGCTCTCCCTGATGTCCAGGCCTTTGCACAAACTATTCCCTCTATATAGAAGGGAACCTCTTTTCCTTCTTCACTTTGTTACTCCCCGCCCCCCTTTCCTTCTTTTCACCTCCCCTGCTCACCCTTCAGATCTCAGCTAAAATATGCATCCTCTTAGAAGCCTTCCTTTATTGCCCTTCACCCTCCAGCTAAAATACTTGGTCTTTGTTATGTACTCCCTTAGTACTAACTGTGTCTGTTGTTTGTTTAATTGCCTCCTCAATGAGGTGAGAGCTAGCTCTGTGAGGATGGGACTCAGCATAGCAGTGTACAGCACAGTGCTTGGCAGGTAGCACACATGTAAGTTAAGAAATACCACACTGAACTTTTACTTGAATCTTATTCTTCTAGTTAAGGTTAAATTAGTTATCTCTGGTAACACCTGTTGGCAATTTTAGGCTTCTAGATTATTGTTTTTAGGAAACAGTTTCCTCTGATTCTTTTTCACTATATTTACCATAATTACTTTGTTTCTCTCGTTTTCTTTTTCTTCTTCTTCCTCATTCTCCTTTCGTATTCCTCCTCTCTTTTCCTCCTCGTCTTCACCATCCTCTCAGATTTCTCTTTCTTCTTTTGCTTCTTCTCCTTATGTTCTTCCACTTTTTTTTTCTCCTCTTCTCCAAATCCTCTCTGCCCCCCTTCTTTTTCTTCTCTCTCTGTCTTACTCCTTTCTTGCAGGAGAGATTTCCATCCAACTTGTATTTCTGGTTTTATGTACAGATAGGGACAAAGGGGCTAGAGTTCCTGTGTGTGTCTCTGTGTGTGTCTATGGTTTCTGTATCTCCAGCAGAACTAAAGCAGATTGTTAGCTTTCTTTAAAAAGTAAGCTATACTTTAGGAATTTATCTTTCGGACATTTACTCCCCAGAGGGGTAATAAAGTGGGTCTAAAATTAATAGATTTGAAGGAAGGAAGAATGTAAGTATTTTAATGAGTGCTTCTTATGTTTCAGACCCTATGCTATGTACTTTAGTCACTTTCACATGTCCTATTTCCTGATAACTGAGAGCTAATAAATTAAATAACATTACATTGATGGAATGTTTTATGTATTAGAAAACTCTTATTCTGAGGGCATAATCCCTGGGGCCATTCAATTCATAGCAAGTGCAAATTATGTTAATTTAAATTCTTATGCAGATATTAAGTGGGTGTTTAAAGATGAAGTAGAAGTACCTTATTTTCACTTAAAATTTTTAAATTTTATGTAAAAATGTGTAAATGAGCATGCGATTATTGAGATTAGTAACAGAGAACTCATATGAAAATGATTTGACTCAGTAACAGTAATTTGTTATTGACAAAACAAAGGAATCACTTTAAGAAAACTTGATGTAGAGGTTTTTTTAATAAACCTGCCAAAGTTACTAAATATGCAGAATAAAATTAAAGGTTTCAAATATACACGAGTGGTTTTTAATAAGGCATATGTAATTAATCTTGAAAGCATACTTTTACATTTTACTTGGAAAGCTTAGTATATATAAGTGTTTGATACATCATTACTGAAAAACATTGACTTGTTATGGCCAAATGAATTTATACTTCTGGTTAATGTTGACATTTTGGGTGGATAATTCTATTATAGGGACTGTTCTGCAGTATTCCTGGCCTCTTCCCACTAGGTGCTAGTAATACCTTCCCAGTTGATAACCAAAAACATCTCCAGACATTGCCAGATGGCCTCTAGGGGGCAAAATTGCCCATGGTTCAGAACCAGTTATCTAGTTTGTCACTTCGTTAAACAATGTAACCAGCCTTTTCTTTTTTTAAAAAATATATTTTATTATTTTTTTACAGAGAGGAAGGGAGAGGGATAGAGTCAGAAACATCGATGAGAGAGAAACATCAATCAGCTGCCTCCTGCACACCCCCTACTGGGTATGTGCCCACAACCAAGGTACATGCCCCTGACTGGAATCGAATCTGGGACCCTTTAATCGCAGGCCGATGCTCCATCCACTGAGCCAAACCAGTTAGGGCTGTAGCCAGCCTTTTCATTGGTGATTATGTGATACTAGAGGCCCGATGCACAACATTTGTGCAAGGGCCTCGGCCCTCGCAGCCCTGGCTGCCTTGGACCTTGCAGCCCCGGCTTTGTCCGGAAGGTCATCCACTGTTTGGCCATCCAGTCTAATTAGCATATTACGCTTTTATTATTATAGATGATAATTTTGAACAGGTCTTCTGGTGTGAGGTGCATAGGTCTCCCAACAAGATCATAACCTTTGTGAACAGGGATCCTTTCTGTGTATATATGTAGTATCTGATATGGTGCTGGGTACTGAATGGAGTCTAAACATGTAAGAGTCTGGTTAATGTATCTGTGAATATTCCCCCCAAAATGAGATTTCAGTTCAGTTTATGCAGTCTCACCAATCTGTTATATAAACTAATTATAACTTCATACAGATTTATATTAAGATTTAGATTTATTTTGCAAATGTTCTAAAAGGATTTATTTGACTTTATGGTTTAAGGTCTAGTGTTTTTCTCTCAAATAATTTCAAGACACAAAAGTGACCTTCTTTTGCATACCTTAAGGTGCTTTCCAAATGTAAAGCTGCATTTTGAATCATGAAGGAATTCTGAAACATGTGTTCAAATTTCAGCTTTCAGTGAAATTCTATGGCTGACTAAACCTTTAAAAAGAAAAGGATATAGGAAGAATCCATGCATATAAACGTGGCATAGACAATTTAACAGAACCACTGAAATAAACTTTTTTTAGCATATGAAACATCTGCTTAAACATCATGCTATTTCTTGATTTCTCTTTAAACCTTTTAAAAACACTCTACTAAGACTGTTTCATCTGTATCTTTAAAGTACTAATAGTTCTTTCATTGTCATCCATTATAGTCTTAAGATTATAGTCTAACATGTTAAAAATTTACTTTTCAATAGTAACTGAAAAATGTGCTTTGCAAAAAAGGTACTGTGAAACAATTTAAAAGGATTCTCAGGTCCCTCTTTACCTCCAAGTAGCAGAAGTCAGGATTATAGTATGTAATGATATACATGGGTTTATTCTCTGCTTAGTGTGAGTTTCTAGGCTTAGTACATTAAATTTCAAGATCTATAAATAACTTCAATTTCTAAAAAGGAATCCAGATACTTAATTTTAACAGGCATTTCATAAAAGGCTTTATGGCTGTTTTTACATTATTTTAAATTATTAAACCTTTATTAAATTTTAGTTTATAGTGCTTTTCATCTTTCATGAGTTTTTATGAGATATGAGTAAACTTCTCTAAAGCTTTGCAAATGCTCAGTTTCTTTTCTCTTTAAAGGTTCTTTCTCGTGGAGAGGTTATTTGTGTGAAGATCCTTGGGATTTTGGCTCTTATCGATCAGGGTGAAACAGATTGGAAATTAATTGCTATCAATGTGAAAGATCCAGAAGCCTCAAAGTTTCATGGTAAGTCTATAACTTTGCAGAAACAGAAATAAATCAGGAATTCTTAGAATTTAAAAGGGACTTATGTAAAACACACTGTAGGTATTTGGGAGTTAAATTTATATGTTTTGTTTTTTATTTATTCTCCACTGAATTTAAAGAGCATTCGACTGTGATTGTGTCTGAGTTGTATCATATTGCTAGGAGGAACAAGAGAGAAAAAAGGATGTAGACAGACAAATGATTCTTCACACTAAGAAAGTACATTCCGTGGGTTCCCTTCCTACTCTCTTCCTTTCCTCCCTGCCTTTTTTTTTTCTTTCTTAAATCTCTCTTTTGTTCTTTTGAGTAATGGGAAAAACTGCTTATCAAGGACACAAGTTGTTTCTACACCTGGTTTTTGTTCTGTCCTGTACAAATGAAGGGAAAGATAACTGCCCTCTGACAAAATTTTGATGTCCCAGAAATTTGAGTTCTAGATATTGCTTGCTGTGATGAAGAACTGACTTTCTTTGGAGTCAGACTTCACTTTAAGTTATGGCTGTGCTGCTTTCTGTATGAGTGACTGGGTAGATCATTCAGCCTTTCTGAATTTCAGTTTGCTCATCTGTGGAGATAAATGCACCTACTTGTGAGATTGTTAACAGAGATGATTTACTTAAAACATCTGGCTGTCACATACAGGGGTTGACTATACGCCACTATTATTATTCTTTGACCACTTTTTTCCTCTATTTTTCTAGCCTTTTTGCTTTCAGTTTCATCCTCATTTAAGATCCTGGTTTCTTCTAGACTTCACCTCTTATCTCAGCTGGAAACTTTATTCTTTCTGATTTGACTGAAACTCAGTATTTATATGTTAACTTCCCTTAACTTATGTGCATTTAAAACCTTTTTTTGCACATGGAACAGCAAAAAGAAATTTTATGTTATTCTTGCATATAATTGAAAAAGGAAGGGATCTGATAGTGTGATTTCATGTAACCTCAGGGTCAAAACTAAAACATGGAACTACAATTCGGCTAGTGTGGCTTAGTGGTTGAGCATTGATCTATGATCCAGGAGGTCATGATTTGATTTCCGGTCAGAGCAAATGCCCAGATTTCGGGCTCGGTGCCCAGTAGGTGGCAGCTGATCAATGAATCACTCTCATCATTGATGTTTCTCTCTCTCTCCCTTCCTTTTTCTGAAACCAATGAAAACATAAAAAGAAACAAACAACAACAAAAACATGGAACTACACTTAAAATAGGAGACATGAGTCTATAAACCATATGTATTTTGTCTGTCTCATTATTTTACCCTGATTTCTTTATTATCATGTTTCTTATACTAGTACATGCATATGTAAGAATAGTAAATAAATGTCCAGTTTAAAAATATTTTAATACATTAACTGCTCCTCAAATGATAACTGATAATCAAATGGTGCAACGTCTTCCAAAACAAATCAGTTGTGAAGTGGCACACTGAAGTCATGAAAAACTACTAAAGAATGTTGCTTTAAACTGGAGATCTGAGAACCTGAATGAAACTAGTCTTTAGGTGGAATAAACTAGCCCATTAGCATAGTACAGTTGGAGATGTGATTTAACATTTTTGTTTTGTTTTGTTTTTCGTTAATCCTCACCCAAGGATATTTTTCCATTGATTTTTAGGGAGAGTGGGAGAGAAAGGAAAAGACAGAGAGAAACATCGATGTGAGAGAAACACATTGATTGCTTGCCTCCTTCATGAGCCCAACCAGGGCCCAGGCCAGGGAGGAGCCTGCAACCAACGTACATGCCCTTGACCAGAATCAAACCCAGGACCCATTGATCCGCAGGCTGACGCTCTATCCACTGAGCCAAACCGCTAGGGCTAAGATCTTTTTAATTTGTTTTTTTTTTATTTCAGAGAGGAAACGGGAGGGTGAGGGGGAGTTAGAGATATCAATGATGAGAGAGAATTATTGATCAGCTGCTTCCTGCATGCCCACACCGGGAATCAAACCATGACCTTCTGTTTCATAGGTCGACACTCAACCATTGAGCAACACTGGCTAGGTGATTTAACATTTTAAACTCCCTAGCATGTGCCAAAGCATTGGTGTCTGTTCTAGTACATATTATCATTTCATTTTTGTTAAATTTATCAGGGTAACATTGGTTAGTAAGATCATACAGGTTTCAAGTGTACAGTTCTATGATACATATCTGTAAATTGCATTGTATGCCCACCACCCAAAGTCAGATCTTCTTCCGTTACCATCTATTTGATGCCCTTTACCCTTTGGTGCTCAAAGGATTTAAATAACTTGTCCAAGTTGTAAATCTAGTAAGTAGGAAAACGATGATTTGAACTTATTTCTGTTTGATTATGAAGTCCATTGTCCAATACTATACAGAGCAATTTATACATGACTGTAGTCGTTTGTAGTATTTCTAACTAGTGGTATTGAAATCAGATTACGTAGGCTAAGTACCTTGCTCCTTGACTTCCCTATGGCCTAGAATGAAAGATTTGAGCTCTCTTTCACTTTACTCCTGTTTGTACCCAGAGTGGAGATGACTGCATTTAGTCATTGTCTAAATTCTTTTTGTGTATTCTTGTACAAAAAGACAAGCAGAAATACTGAAGCTTATTTAGTTTGAGATGAAAACTGGAATAAGTAAAACAAGTTATTTTGAAAGGAAAAGACTCTTTTATTCTAATAAAAGGCAACACATGTATTATCTTAATCATGAAAAATACAATTCTTCATACATTTTTAAAATCCTAAAATTAAAAGATGAGAATTATTGGCATATTTTGCTCTGATATAGTATGCTGACATTGTGTCTGTTGTTTATTTCCAGAATGAGTAAGGTATGGGAAGGGAGGGAAATAATTTACTTTAAGGATATTTGCATATTGTTTGCACTGGGTAGTATTTTAAATACTCTCATATATCTAGGTTTTGTAAAATAAATTCTGTATGTATGTGGTTTCTTTTTACTTCTCATTTCTTTTATCTTCACATTATTATAATACACTAGAGCAGTGATGGCAAACCTTTTGAGCTCAGTGTGTCAGCATTTTGAAAAACCCTAACTTAACTCTGGTGCTGTGTCACATATAGAAATTTTTTGATATTTGCAATCATAGTAAAACAAAGATTTATAATTTTGATATTTATTTTATATATTTAAATGCCATTTAACAAAGAAAAATCAACCAAAAAAATGAGTTCGCATGTCACCTCTGACACGTGTGTCACAGGTTCGCCCTCACTGCACTAGAGGCCTGGTGCATGAAATTCATGCATGGGGGGGGGTGTCCTTCAGCTTGGCCTGCACCCTCTCTAACTGCCCTCCCCTGCCAGCCTGATCACCCCCAACTGCCCTCCCCTGCCAGCCTGGTCGTCCCCAACTGTTCTCCCCTGCTGGCCTGGTTGCCCCTCACCTGCCCTCCCTGCAGGCCTGATCACCCACAATTGCCCTCCCCTGCCAGCCATTTTGTGGTGGCCATCTTGTGACGATGTGAGGGTGTCGCGTGAGGGCACGAGGACCACTGAGGCTTTTATTAGTATAGATTCCTCATATCTTTATTCATTTTCTTTTGTCTTTTACTTAAGTGACCCAAGGAAGAAATAGATGTAGGCACAAATTGAAAGGCTGAAGAAATTTTGGTATAATTTTTTTAAAAAAAATCATAAGTCGTGGAATTCTAGGTGATCCTATGTAGCAGCTTTTATTTTTAATTTAAACACAAGTTTTGTTTTATATTTATATCTTTCAAACATCATACAGCTGTTCTCTCAACTATTTCAGACAACAGAGTTTCTGTTGTCCTGCTGCTTAAGGAAGGAAGTGTTAGTGGACAGAAATTATCCTAATCTTATTTTTCTTTCTTCACTCTTTAGCCTGCTGTGTTGTCTGTGTTTTCATTAGCACCTGCCAAAGGGGAATTAGAGAGGATGAGAGCTGAGTGATGCTTAGTAATTAGAGGGCTTGAAAGCTTCCTAAATATGTGAAGGAATTTTTTAAAGTTATAAAAAATGCCAGTTATGATTTGATTACAGTCTTTAATAACATTTTTGATTCATAATAGTTAATTCATCTTCCAAAGGTATCTGTCTTATAATTCATGGGGAGCTTACGTATTATAAGCGCGTGGCTTATTTTATATGATGTTACAGGTTTATAATAGAACCTTGATCAGGGTGATAAACCTCAGAAACAAATAAAGGAACCAGTGTTATGATTATGCCTTTTACAACACCTTATGATCCTATATAATAAAGAGTTGATATGCTAATTTGACCGGACAGTAGAACGACCTTCCGGACGACCTTTCAGAATGACCAATGGTCCTCAAAAAACTACAAATGGAACTCCCATTTGACCCTGTGATCCCACTTCTAGGAATATATCCCAAGAAACCAGAAACACCAATCAGAAAGGATATATGCACCCCTATGTTCATAGCAGCACAATTCACCATAGCTAAGATCTGGAAACAGCCTAAGTGCCCATCAGTAGATGAATGGATTAGAAAACTGTGGTACATCTACACGATGGAATACTATGCTGCTCTAAAAAGGAAGGTGCATATAAGCATAACCAATGGACATAAGACACTGGGGAATAGGGGAGACTAGGGGACTGTCTAGGGCGGGGGGAAAAAATGGACACATATGTAATCCCCTTTGTAATAAAAAATTTAAAGAAAAAAAAAAAGAATGACCAATGGGCAGGGCTGCAAAGGCTACGCCCCTTGCATGAATTTTGTGCATTGGGCCTCTAGTTTTATTATAAAGGAAAATATGTATATTTGGGTTCATTGATTAAATAAATATTAGCTAATAGGTAGTAAATTTTGGTGCCATTCTCTACTATATATCTTTGAAAATTAATCAACTATATTTATTATTAAGTCAAGCAACTTTGAAAATTTTTTATGTTTCCTGTCTACATTTACTTTCTAAAATCACAAACACAGGATTTTTAATGACATTTTTTTAATCATAAAAATAATCATAATACTTGGAAATAAAAACT